GCACGCACGCACGCACGCACGCACGCACGCACGCACGCACGCACGCACGCACGCACGCACGCACGCACGCACGCACGCACGCACGCACATACATACATAATCATGTTATTTTTCCATAGATAATTATGTCAAACTAAATTCAGTCCTTTTCTTTTCGTTGAACATATCAGTACCTATTTAACCATGCACTGAGAAATGTATGAAATTTTATATATGAAACATTTTTTTCAGTAAGTGAATAATCTGTTTAATTAGTTTTAAATTATTTATACTTTTCTGTAGGCTTTAATTAACAAAGAGCACAATGCGATAATTAAGGAGACGATTGTCCAAGAGAATGGGAAAGTACTAACGGATATTGATGACGGAATACATCGCGCTTACGGTCTTCGTTCTGAATATTATAATAAAACAACAAGACCATTAAGACTGAGAAAGAAGTTATATGAATTCTATACTGCTCCAATAACAAAATTTTGGGCAAATGCTGTAAGCAAGAATATTTATATATTCGTTATCTCAATATACAAAATCACATGTATGAATTATTGATAAATGTAGTTCTTATTGATTTATTTCTGTTTGTTAATATAAATATTTGTAACGAAACGCAATACAATAAAAATATTTTGATTTTGCAGATAGCATATATTATTTTTTTACTTTTTTTTCGTACTGTATTTTGATACACATGGACGATCACCCATCATTAGCTGAAATATATGCGATCGCATATATCTGTACTCTCGGATGTGAAAAAGTACGTGAGATAGCAACCTCGGAACCTGCAACGCTCTCACACAAGTTTAGCGTATGGGCATGGAATATGTGGAATCCCTGTGATGCCGCTGCTATTATATTTTTTCAAATTGGATTAGCATTACGTCTACGACATTCGACTCTAGATGTAGGTCGCGTCATATTCTGCGTTGATTGCATTTATTGGTATTTACGAATACTCAACATCCTTGGTGTCAACAAATATTTTGGTATGCTTGAAATATTAACTTAAAAGCAACTTAATCTTACTTGCTTTAGCACAAAAAAATGATATATAACGAGTATTTGATTTTATATAATTAAATAATGATACGAGTTGTAACATAATTAATTTTAATATTATTTTTTAATTGTTTTATGTATGATACTTAATGATTTATATTTCATAGGTCCTCTTGTAACTATGATGGGAAAGATGGTTAAAAACATGATATATTTTGTGGTGCTTTTATTAATTGTCCTCTTGAGTTTTGGTGTAGCTAGACAAGCTATATTAAAGCCTAATTCTGATCCAAAATGGCATATAATACGAGACGTACGTACATATTTTCTTAACGTATATTTCTAAAAAGAATATCTATACATGTTTTTCCAATTAAAAATTTATACACACACAGCATAATTTTCACACTTTTCTTTAATAGATATTTATGGAACCATATTTTATGCTGTATGGAGAGGTGTACGCGGATAATATAGATCCTGAGTGTGGAGATGAGCCAGGAATGATACAGTGTCTTCCGGGTCGTTGGATCACCCCTGCTGCTATGGCCGTGTATCTTTTAGTTGCTAATATTTTATTGATAAATCTGTTAATTGCGGTATTTAATAATATTTTTAATGAGGTGAATGCTATAGCTCATCAAGTCTGGATGTTTCAACGGTTTACCGTCGTTATGGAATATGAGCAGAAACCAGTATTGCCACCGCCGCTTATAGTGATCTGTCACATATATTTATTATTGAAATATTTTCTAAAGCATATTATGCAAAATAAAAGCAATACCGGTGAGACCTGTGACAATGGGTTGAAATTATTTTTGGAGGCTGACGATATGGAACGACTTTATGATTTTGAAGAGGATTGCGTTGAAGGATATTTCCGTGAACAAGAGCTCAAACTGCAAATGTCTACAGAAGAGCGCGTGAAACTTACAACGGAACGGGTAGAAAACATGCATCAGAAGATTGAGGATATCGATAAAAAAGAGAGTAATCAGAACGCATCTCTTCAGGTATATAATAAATATATTTTTATTATATAATTTAGATGTTTATAGTATCTATGTATATAAATAATTATACTTCATATCAGAATATATTTAAATAAAATACTTTGCAAAATATTAATTTTTCAACAATTTTATTTTAACATATACAATGTGTATGTACGTGTGAAAATAATTGATTTAGGCAACAAAATATATTAAAAGTTTTATATTTACAGGCTGTCGAATTTCGTATTCGTAAGTTGGAAGAATTGAATCAACAAACTTTAGCACATCTTGGAGTGATTCATCGTTTCATGGCAACATACATGCCAAATGAAGAATTATCCGGTTTAGAGACGTTTGATAATGTTCGGCAGCGTCGAGTATCAGAGCGATCAGAAACGTTATCCGAAGCAGATTCTCACATGCAATTGCCAACAATAGCACGACGCAAGAGACTTTTGCGATCTCTTACAGATGCCACCTTTTTAAACGTTGGCCACGCGGTTGACGATGTCCTTAAAGAGACTGTGATTTCTCGTGAAAATCTTAGTAGACATGATTCTTCTGTAAGTGTAGATGCTCATGTCGGTCAAGATGACATTAAAACAACTACAAGTTTGGAAACAGAAGGCAGCAAAGATATTCTCGAGAGTGAAACAGTTGGAAGAAAAGATATGCAATCAGAAAGAGAAATGAACCAAGATACTAGTAAAGAAGTAAGCAGAGAGATGAGTAGAGAAATCAGTACAGAGACTACTAGCAAAGACGTCAGTAGGGAGACTAGCAGAGAAGCCAGTAAAGAAGCCAGCAGCGAAAATCCGCCCTCTGACATCAGGCAAGATTCCACAGAACGTAATACATTTAGGCAAGATTCCGCAGAACGTGGTACATTTAGGCAGAACAGCAGAACCCGATCAGAATCAGATGATTTTATGCTGCTTCCTCCACCTGGTATACAGAGGGCTGTAACTTGGGCAGAGCCTCGCGTGGCTGTAATCCCGTCTTCTGTTACCTCGGCCGGTAGTGCGCAAAGATCGATTTTATTGACGATGCGCGCTGAATACACCAGTATTACGGACGAACTTGAAAGTTATTGTGGCTTGTTAAGCCCACCGCGAACGCCACCGATGTCGCCACCGCCATCACGGGTTCGGAACATATCGGACATATCGAATATATCGAATCCCGAGATGGCATGGCAGATCGAGAATGAACACTTGCGTGATGCGGAAGAGTGCGATTATCAACAGATGGAGGATTTGATTCAGCGACGTTATCGCGATGATGACGATGATGATGAGGATGATGGACCATCAAATGGACATGCAGATGAGACAAGTGGTATTGCATGTTTTTTTAATGTATCCAACGAACATTGTCAGTTACGCCGTACTTCTGCAATTGAAGAGGATTCTCGGAGACCACCACCAACAATCAGCGTTACTCGTGAGATCGAGCAAACACTTGCGCGACCGACAATACGCGATTCTCAATCAGCCGGTCAGAATGATAAAAATCTGAGCACTGTACCTACTCCTGCTTCCGAAACTATGTGTTAAATTGAAAATTAAAAGAGAAAGTACATATTGTAAAGAGCTCTTCAAATTCAATTTGTGACTCGTAAAATTATGAGCTTGATCAAATTATTAGCTTTCAGCATGCATGTATGCCTGCATGTGTATGTAAGTGTATATCACATTTTTATTACTTGGATATACAAAGTGTCCAATTTTAAACAATAACACCGCCAAAATTTTTCTATTTTCAATTTTAGAAAAAAATGTGTCATACAAGAGTTAAATAATTTCAAGGTTACATGATTATAATATTGATTCATTCGCAAATGGTATCACTATTGATATCTTTTATGGATATCATTCTTTTAAATAAAATTATGTAATTTTTTTACATAATGTTATTTTCAATATAAGAATATTAAGATAGAGTTTTCAAAATAGATAGCTTACGAGATATTTTATATCTTATGTCAAATATATCAAAATAAAGTATAAAATAACTCGAAAATATCTCTTATTTTTTCATAATTTTGTCTTAATATTTTTATATTCAGATCTAACAAACACAGAATATAATGCTATATAAGAGAAACATTTGATACAACAAATGTTATGTTAATATCATGTTAATATTTTGTTTTATATATACAATATGTGTCATATAAATGTGTTACATTTATTATTTATTGGTTATAAAGTAACAGTAATATAACATAAATGTATTATATATTATATAGGGTGTTTCATTTTAAATAATTTTATAGTCAATTCTCTTGAAAATAAAGCATTTTTGGAAAAAATGCTTTGTGATAAAGTTATAGAGTTTTGAAAGAGTATGGATTATGATATTGATTGATTCAATAAAGTCAATATAGAGATCATTTTATGATTGCTATCTTTTTAAAAATGGAATTACATATTTTTATTACATAATATTTTTCTAGTTATTCTGATATAAAAGTTTGTATAAGATACAGTTTTATCAAAAAATAAATAATTTACGCGATATCTTACATTTTATTCTGACATATAGTCTGATTAATAAAATACCTAGAACAGATTCTAAATTATTAATTTTTTAATAACAATACCTTTTATGCACAAAATAATCAAACACATGTATGTGATCACATTGGTATAAATTAAGCACATAGTTGCTTTAAAAAAATATATACTTGCATATTTTCACTTGCAAATATTAATATATTAATATAAATAATTTTTTTAAAGAAACTTTATATATCTTCTTTATCTTAATTGATTGGTCTCATTATTCTGTACAAAATAGCGTTAAGGTACAGTTACCAAAAAAATGAATCATTTACAAAATATTTTATATTCTATATTAGAATGTGCTAATAAAATATAAAATATAATATCTTGAAAATTATTGACTTTTTGACAACTTGTGACACAGCGCTTTGCATCACAAGGGATTTATATCCTGATTACGAGGATAAACTCTAATTCTGCGTTCTCCATGCAAGAGAAGAACGCAGACGAGACTCCAGATCATTTTATTTTACAGTTCTTTTCTTTTCTTTAGATTAAGTCGTGGATAGATATGACACACAATTTTATTCGGACATATATCTCCGATTCATCAATTATAATATAATTAGATAATTGTGATTGATTATATCCAATTAAAATAAGCATCTGAGATCTTCTCTAGTTGAAACTTATATAAAACAAAACGTCCCAATTGGCGAATGAAATATCGTAGAAAGAGGGTGTTACAATTGGAAAAAAAACACTACTGTTGAAAACGTACAGATTGTATTGTCCTTATTGCATTCGGCTGTATTGTTTTAAAAAACCGTTACTATTGTACTCAATTTATTTGCAGCGAGATAAATGTCAACTTTCGTGATGAGCGAAAAGGGAAGGAAACATTGAAAGGAAAGGCATTCCACGCAAGATTAAATATGAAGACTTTAAAATCGAAGCACTAGCCAGAAACTCTCGGTTAAAATTCAATCTCGAATTTAAAGAAGAATGCCGTTCTTTATTCTCAAAGAAGCGTCGAGTGATCGATGATTCTGTCAGGAAAAATCAGGAAAGCAGGATTGCCGTAAGACGCTATCGAAATTTGAGTTTCCTACAAGGACGCAAGATGCGCGTGGCGAGTTAGGATCCGCGCGATTATCTAATCTAGCCAATACGGCTGCAACATTATTGCGAAATTATTGCGAATGATCGCTTGTGTGTTTTCCAGAAATTTTAGGGAACACATTGTAGTTGCCGAATTGTGAGGATACAGGAGCAAGAACGAACATCCGCTTCGAATTCACTATGTCAAGTTGGAAAAACGAACAATCTATTTATAAATCTATTTATCAATTCCGTCTTAAGTTAGATGGATCACACATATGCGATAAGGCCATCATATCATTTTGTATTTCTGCTCTGGAGAGCGTAATCTTCCGTCCCAATAAACATTAACTAATAGTAACATAACATCAATGTTATAATTTTCCACTTAACAACATGACTATTACGTAATATATGTGTAACATATGATATGTCGTTAATTATATATTAATGCTTATATTAATATTTTTTTGTTTGTTTAAATATCGCCCATTGATAATATATATCCATTGATCAGTCATTAGTGCGTTCCTGCTTATTATTTCTCCCTAGATTATTACTTGGCTAAATTCACTGATCGTTCTTGACTGTTGTTGTAATATTTTTTCCGTATCAAATATATTTGATTAAAATATAACAGTTACATTGTATTTACATTACTGAACAGAAAGTTATATTGACGTAATGTTACTGTTAATTGATGTTCACTGGAGTATAAGTGTTGACTGCCGTGTCGTTTCTTCTGATCGTCTTACAAATTTTGAGTTCTCAACATCAGCGCCACGCGTTATTTTGTATTTTTATTGCCATGTATTATGTTCATCCGTCGCGTTCGATATTTATATTATTGTGAATTCTTTGGCTATCACATAGTTATTAGTCGTTTTTATTATACAATTGTGTGAATTCTCTTAGATTAGTATTCATAATCAGTTCTTATATTTAAGATCATCTTAAGTATGAATTCAAGATGCTATATGGCTATTTTATTATTGAGCATCTTAAAACAACTTGAAATCTGACTTAAGACAATCTTAAATATAAAAATTGATTATGAATATTAAATATTGTATTGTAATCTCATAAGCTCGTACTACTGCGCCAGTGCCGTGAATATTATGAAGAAATTTCTGTTACTCTCTTTGATTATTGATATACTCTGTAAATGCTGAACTGTTCAATTTATAAGTGAGGTGGTTTTCGAGTCATATACGCGTCGCACGACCGTTCTCACATGATCATTATAGCGAATATCATAGCTGCCGCGAATTGTATCAAGCAGCCTTGTTAAATATATTACTTGTTATTTCTATTATTATGTAACTGGATTATTATAAAATTCTCTCTCTCTTTCTTCCCCTTTCCTCCCTTACTCTTTTCCATCGTCCTTACTCCCTCCCTTTCTTTCCCTTCTTCCTTTCCTGCCTTTTTTACGTTATTTATTCTAAAATAAATCAATTTCTTCTACAACAATTAAACGTATTAAGCTTATTAAAAAATAAAAAGGATTGGAATACGGACCTATATGTCGAAATATGTCTAAATCTGTTTCACTTTCATAATTTTCATCTTGTTTCAAGATACAATCGACGTCCAGATAATAATAACAAGCAATTGTTTCCTAAAATAGAAATGAAATCGTCATAATGTGACACGTGAAAATAATTATACATTAAGTAAAATTTACAAGTGAAACTTGCAAATTTACAAGTGAAAAAAATGCCATTAAAAAGACATGAAAGAAAGAATGCGGATAAAAAAAGAAAGAAAGCACTAGAAAAAAAGGGCACCATTATGTGTCATCTTATTAGTATGTATTCATTAAATCTAACTTAAATAGTGATTGTATATGGAACTGTGAAGACAAACATAAATTTTATATATAATATTCTAATAAAGCAATAAATCTCCCCAATTAACAAACTGACCTGTCATCATTTTAATGACATTACACATTTCTTATTAAAACAGTGACAGTTAACGTCAGCTTATTAACTGGAGAGATTTATTGTTTTATTATAATATTATATAAAATTTACATTTGTCCTCACAGTTCCATGTACAATCACAACAATTATGTGTGTGTGTGTGTGTGTGTGTGTGTGTGTGTGTGTGTGTGTGTGTGTGTGTGTAGTAAAATATAATATATATAATGTAATGATATTACATTTCATTACATAATTATATTTCATTACATTAAACAATTAATACTATTTATTATTATTTTGCATGTTCTTTTGGGTTTATTTATATTCTAAAATCATCCAATGAATTATCAAATGTAGTTTATATTTTTTATTTATATTTTTATATTTATATATTATATTATATTATATATTTTACAGCCCCAGGACCTAAATATAAACTTAAAACACTCGTCGGCTCCAAAGATCATTGTATTTCGAAATATCAAAATCCAGCGTATACATTCGGTGGTCCTAGACCTCAAGTCATCTTTGAGACAGAAGGTCCAGGACCAAAATACATGATCAAGAAATATAAACCTATGGGATTTACTTTTGGATATGCTATAAAAATTCGCGGTAAATCGATTTTCTTATTCAAATTAGATCATTATTATTCATAATTACAATTCTTTTTTTCTTTGACACTTGATAGATTTTACATTTGGACCTGGTCCGAAGTATAAATTGCCAGATGTCTCTCGTGGTCCTTTCTTTTCAATCAAATGGAAAACTAAATTGAGGAAAATCGATGAAATACCAGGACCTTACTATTACAAACTTAAGACTGATGCACCAGGATTTTCCATGTATATTAAGATTTTAAATTTTATTTGTTCACAATAACTGGAATATATGGAATAACTGGAATATAATCATTCTATTGTTTGTAGGGGACTGCCTCTAAGGGCTGCAATAAGACCTATGTCTATAGGTCATCATTCAGCATGTAACTTAGATATAATAAAACCAAAAGCACCTATATATACTATGGGTACTCAGCAAAAAAGAGTACAATTTATTTCTGAAGGCCCAGGCCCAATATATGCTATCCAACCACCAAAAGCAAGACCAGCTTTTTCATTCGGTGTAAAGCACAGCGTATGTGCATTACCTTATATAACTGAATGCGATAAATAATGCTAAAAATAAAAAAATTGATTTCTTTGTATCGATTTATTAAACTCATCAATGTCTGAATTATTAGATTACTAATAATTGATAAACTAAATTTCTTTATTCTCATTTTATTGTTTCAATGAATTTAATATTAATTTGGATAAATCTAATTGTTATGAAAAACACCAGTTACTTTTTACCATTGAAAAGACATCAATTTCCAATATTTTTAGTATAAGTTTCATTGTTGTTATTTTTATGGTACTTTGATTCTTTTTGATTTTTTTTTTAATTCAAAGTTAATAAATTTGTATAATTAAATTATATAATATTTTGATTACATTTACAATACTGACTCGGAGAAATAAATTACATTACACTTTTATAATTATCTATAAAATAAATTTATACAACTCTTTTTAACATTAATTGATTCATCTCATTAATCTGTGCATAAAAGTATTAGGATATAGTATTAGGACATTGCCAAAAAATGAATAGTTATTAATTTACGAGATGTTTTATATTTTATGTCAAATTGCATGTCAAATTCAAGCCTCATTCAGAAAATAGTTACTAAAAAATACTTTATTATAGTGTTTTGCAGAGTTCTGAACCCTACAACTTTTGTTTAAAATGTTTTGTTTTTAAAACGTTTTTTAAAAAGATATTTAATGGATCTTTAAAATGGGACGCCCTGTACACGCACATACGCATACTACTAAACATCTCGATGTCTTGTGATGATTTAAAATACTAGCAAGAAAATTCTAAAAAAAAAAAAAAATTAATTTTAATTTTTTATTTCAAGCAGTTTTAAAAGCTTGGTTGCATAAATAAACTAATACTTAAATAAACTTTCTTTTAAATTAAAGGTTTTAAATGAAAGGTTTACAAAGAGTCACTGTATGATCCACTCCACAGGCAACTTTTGTTACTTGAGCTCCTACTGCAACCTGTTGCAAAAAGATAAATCATAAGCAGAAAATTTCCATATGTTACTTCCGTATTGTTCAGTGTTCTATTTTCTTTATTTATTTTATACTAGTGACAAGCATTAAAATAAATTTACCCTTAAGGGAAAAAATTGATCTTTCATATGTCCTAATCCCAGAGAACCAAATTTATTGCCACCCCACATGTATAAATCTCCTGAATTGGTTATTGCCGCTAGTTGACTAATGCCACAATATATTTTTGTTACCTAGTATTAATGTATAAAAAATAAGTTTTATTAAAATAACCAACATTTGAGTAAAACAGATTTTCAAATATTTTTTAATTGAATTAAATTTTCTAATTATTTTAATTACCTTGATATTACGATTGTATACATTGTTGCCAAATAAGGCAGGAGGAATCATGGTAGGTTTTGATGCTTTTTGTACTTGAGGCCCAAGACCGAGTATACCATATCCCCATACAAATACATTGCCATCATCTATAATATAAATGTGATGTATGACATATACTAGAAATGTCAAGAAGTATAACATAAATACAAAAAATTTTACAATTCTTAAGCAAAAACTATTAACAATAATTGAAACTGATAAATTAATATTATACATTTTACATTAATACTTACTATTTAAGATCATGCAGAAACATCCACCTGCTGCAATATCTATTATATGTCCTAATTTCTGTGTATCCAATTCTGTAGCAATATTTATTTGGTAATTATCTTCTTGTACTGGTAACTGGTTATATTCTGAATTACCCCAACCATAAACTTTTCCTTTATCTGTAATAAAAATATTTTTAATTATTTTACTTAGTTAATCATTTATATTTAATTTTAACAAAAAGAATGAATAAATGTATTATGATATGCGTGCATGAAGAAACAACATTGAATTCTCAGAAGTAAGTTAGATACCTGATGTAATACAAAAAAGTAATACGAAAATTTCTTCATATGTGTATCGTGTGTACAGAAATATACTTCATATGTGTACAGAAATATATGTATGAAAATTTTATTTCAGAAACATGTCCTTAAGAGATTATATGGTAATAATGAAACACCCTGTATTCCATCTTTTATAGATACATACCACTAAGAGCTAATACACAATCAGCAGCACAAACAACTTTGATTATACGCTGTCCTGCTAAATCACCCTTCACTAAACTTGGTCGATATTCATTTTGATAATGCGCAAGACCTGTTTGTCCATCAGCACCCCAACCGAAAGTATATACTTCACCTGTCTCTGTCAAGAGTACGCTGTTATGTAATATTAATAAGAAAATACATTGATATTGATCAATAATATTGTAAAGTAATAATACTTGATTAATATTTTATACCTATGATCTTGACCAGCTGTTACTGCAGTAATCTTCTTTCCTTTAATGTCAGGTATATGATGTACAACCATACTCTTTTCATAATCTTCATTCAATATAATTGGTCTACCACATTGACCATATGCATTATTACCTAGTGTAAACAAACCTTCTGTTGTTAGTATTAATAAATGTGCTCTTCCAGCAGCCATGCTTACAGTTTTGGTTAAGGTATTCTGTAATGGTAAATATATCGGTCTTGGAATATGTACCATGTTAGACTTGTCAATTTTATTATAACCTGTTACAAAAAAAAAAAAACTTTTGTATAAATCTTAAGATTAAAATTTCTAACAAAATCAAGTAGACTTAATATTGACAGTTAAGATAATCTGATATTTAATTACCAAGTTGTGAATCTGTATTTATTCCTGTGCCATAAACAATATTCTTATCTGAAGCATGTATAGCATAAGCTGTGAAACCATATCCACAAGCGATATCTATTACTTTATGTTGCTCAGCAAAGAACGATCTTTTTGGTTTTGATATATATGAGATTTTGTTCTTTTTTAAAATTTTTGGTTCTCCAAGAGCACCATGCTCCGCAAGACCCCACACATATACTCTGCGATCATTCTCTTGACTTATTGGATATTGGAAAACTATAAACAAAGCAAATTTCATGTCAATAATTTGTCGATCCATTCGTTGTTAATATATTTGTAATAGCGTATTTTCTAACTTGGTAAAGTTTTAAGCTCAGGCTTCGTAGGTGTAAACTTCTGGCAAATTAGGTGAAAATTTTTAGCTCTCTTCGTAGCTTGCACAAAACAATTTCTCCCTACGCTGAACATTGATTTACTTTGATTTTTTCCAGTAATTATTCAGTTTAGTTGCCTTACTCCAATATTGATAAAATTATGCTCATCCGTTACACAGGTTTTGTACGAAACAAAAGCATTGACTTAGGATGCTTTCCATTTAGTCCTCATCTTTTTATCTTTGTTAATCATTGAAAGCCGAGAAAGATAGACGATACTTGTGTCGACTTGTGTCACTAAATGGAAAGCACCCTTAGTTTACACCTAGTCGTCCAATCCCGATTCACTTCGAAGTGAAGTGTAGAGAGCGTTTACACCGGACTGATCTTACTCTGCTGAGAAAAGATTAAAGTAAATCAAAATTAATCCATTTACACCTAAACTTTATTGACTTTAAAATGTTTATTCAAAGAGAGATATTTATGTTATTGTGATATACCAATTAATTCGAATTTAGAAACATTATTTTGGTATTCCCTGTATTAAATATTTGAATAGTATATTTCATTGCTATGAACATATCAACTGTTGAGATTTATATCTTCATATTTCATTAAAATCATTATTAATAATCTGTCATAAAGTTTTGTATGTTCTTTAATCTGATATTTATAGATTTTATATTTTCTTATGTCTTTTACGTATATTAAATAACAGAATGAAAGATAAAAAAAATAAATTCAGAATGTTAAATTGTACTATAAAAGGTAAATTATTTGATAATTATTTACTTTAAACAATATAAACATATAAATTGTTCATGTTATATTAAAATAAGAATTTGTGAATAAAGGTCCTGGCCCAGTTTACAAATTACCAACATTGATCGGTTATAGTAACCATGATCCATCTCGACACAGAAATCCAGCATATAGCATACGAGCTCGAACTGATTTGACTAAGCCCTTTATAGGACCTGGTCCTCATTATAATATCAGACATTTAACAAAATTTGGAACAGATAATCCACCTGCGTATACAATTAGAGGGAGAAGAACATGGAAATGTAAATATAAATTTTTTTCTGCTTTAAGAAATAGGAAATTAATACTAAAATTTAATTTTGTATCTTAGTGCCAAATCATACTCCAGGACCAGGAGCATATTCTCCTGAATTATGTCCACCGATGAACCATAGTCGTAGAACACCAGCTTACAGCATTAAATCACGACATATAACAAAGTTTCTAGATGAAGGACCTGGACCAAATTCATATCTTTTACCAACATGTATTGGACCCAAAGTGCCTGATAAATCCGTTCAGGGTGCATTTTCTATGTAAAAATATAGGCAAATCTTTTATATTTAAGGGCCATGGCACACAAAAAATTTAAGCAATAAAGAAATCAACGTTATGGATTTGTTACTGTATATGTTACTGCCTTATGTTCTCGACTATGTATGATTTGATGATTCGTTTACTGCTTAAGTCTTACTGCTTCTTTGTGTGCCATGGGCCTGATTATATATATATATATATATTTAAAATATTAATTACATATTACATTGATTATATATTTTATATCTTTTTAGTGGGAGTTACCGCAGGATCTCTGATAGAATCATAGGTCCAGGCCCAGCTGCGTATAACAAAATAAACTATGATATAATAAAACGACGAAATCCGGCATATAGTCTAAAGGGAAGACACTTTTTAACAGAAAAATATCATACTCCGGCACCAGTTTTTTATCCATTATACAATATACACAAAAGGTCACCTATGTATTCATTCGGTATAAAGCATAGTGAATGTTCCGGAATACCCATGACACAATTGGATGAAGATTGTTGATTTTATAATTAAAAATTATGTATAGATATTTTGTCGTATTTTTACATATTAAATTTTTATTGTAGAAGTGACATTAAGTATACATTATATGTGTGTACACTGCGTTTCATTAATCGAATCCTACGGATTTAGGAATAGAGAATAAGTTAAAATGATGAGAGTGACGCCTGATTGCCCATGTTGCCGATTGGCTAATTTAAAATAAAATTTTTTGATTAATTGATCCAGTGGAAAATTTCCAGGCATTTGTCGCTGTAAGTGGCTGATCAATTGCAATGTGTTAAAAGGGACGCTTCCTGCCTATATATTTAAATATATCTTCTCTCTTTTTGAATCTACAAAGTCAAAAGCACAGTATAAGTAGATACAGTAGATTCACTTGATCGGCACGTTTAATCTGAAGTGAAATGTCGGCCATAATATTGGTCGGTATTTATAGGCTGGTATTCATAGTCAGGTCTTATATTTAAAATCACCTTAAGATTACATTTCAACTAATATAGTAATCGTACAAGCTTACTTAAGACAATTTTAAATATAAGAACGGACTATGAATACTAGCCATAGTCAGTTCTTACATTTGAGATAGTCTTAAGATAACATTTCAACCAATAGAATAGCTGTGAGCCACTTACAGCGACCGATGACTGGAAATTTTCCACTAGATCAACCAATCAAAAAATTTTATTTTAAATTGACTAATTGGCAACGTGGACAATCGGACGCCATCGGATGAGGCCCAAAATACACAATATAAACATATCGTATAGTCTAGGCCAATGAGCGTATATGTAATTCAATATGGCGACTTTATATTGGATGCTCATTGATCCAGATGATAAGGTCTGCTGTGCATATGCAGTTATGTTACTTTGTATGTAATGGTCCTAACTCCAGTGATGTATAAAATTTATTACTGGCGTATAGTTTCTCGTACAAGATTGGAGGCATAATCAAGGAAGATTCTTTTGAATATAATTTCATTGTGACAGATAAAAAAATTATATCAAATTGTATTTGTGTTAATATTTTAAAATAATATATGTACGCATAAAAATATAATTAAGAAAGAATTCAGATCGTTGTATAACAAAAGAAAAATATGGCAACTATGGGCGAGTCTCTCACTTTAGCTAGAGGTAAGTTTTAACTTATCGGTTCAGTTAATTCAGTTAACGCAAATATACAATTACATTATTTTCCTTACTTTCCTTACTTGATGCTTGTAGCACTCTTAAAATTGTTTTTTTTTTATTGTTTACTGAATGTTACACAGAAACAATAGAAGCAATGCAAATGTTAAATGGAATATATATTATATAAATATTGACGATTATCAATTATTTTAATAAATAACAAATTTTCTTTTTTTTTATAGATGTTAAAAGGTCTATAGAATTATTAGATAAACTCCAAAAAGGTAAGCACCTAAATAGTCAAATTTGTCAAAACAGTAAAATATCAGAATAATGAATAAAGTGGGCCAATTTTAGCTCTCGAAAAGATAAAAATGGTATATTTTTTATATAATTTTTAAAAAGTTATTGAATATGATTCTGACCTTTAAAAAATTTTAATTTGTCAAAAAAATATTAAAATCAATTTACGAAACCATTAAATATATAAGAACTATATGAAAATAATATATTAATAAAAATAAAACCATAATATGATAAAATATACAATATTAAGTAAGAATCAATCGATAATAATATAAATAAGCAAAGGTTTTATTTGGTCAAAATGAATCTTGGTGCTTAAAGTATATTTTTTGCATAAATCTTATAATTTTCAGTACTAAAATATTATAAAAATAAAATACTTTTAATGAGCAGATATATACTAAATATAGAAGAATATAAGAAAGAAATATGAATAATAATGCTTTCAAGTTAAAATGATTTGCATCGTTAATGCCTGTTTATAAACATTCATAATTTTTTTACTTTCTTCATCAAGAGCAGAACATGAGCTACTAGAAATGAAAGTACTATCATATTTTACTAACAGAGAACAAAGACACATATTAATATATTCATGAAGCTTAATAATAATAATTTATTATGCTGGATGTTTAGAATGATATGCTAATTTTAATATTTTTTCGACAAATTAATATTTTTTAAAGATCAAAATCAGATTCAGTAGTTTAAAAATAATACAAAAACGTACTGTTTTTACTTACTTTACATTTCAGGAATTAAAGTTGGCCCACTTTAAACATCGTTCTTTATCAATAGAATGTCAATAGAGATATAACAAAGTTTGCTAACATAATATGATGGCAGATTGACTAGTTGATCTGTCATGTGTAGTAATCATTTAAATGATCACAAAATAATAAAATAATAATCTACTTGATTTCTATGGATAATCTAAAGCTCATGTTAACAGGCTAATAATATGAGCTTAATACAAATGTTAATTAATATTAATTTCTTACATAGCAAAAATTGATTCTAAGTATATTCAATAGATGTATCAAGAGATTTAATAATATCTAGAATTCATTCTTAAAAGTTGAAATATATACATAAAATGTACAGAGGATATCTTTGTGTCCACTTATTTAGCATTTATAAAAAGTAATATATAGATATTAGGATGCACATATTTAATTCTACCAATATCCATAAGAAGTTTTCATATAAAAGGTTTTATATATAAAGTTTTTATATAAAGTTTTTATATAAAAATTGATTCGAAGTACATTCGTTAGATATATCTTACAGTATTCCATATATCTAAAATTTATTTTAATAAAATCGAAATATTCAGAATGAAAAATAATGATAACATGAAAAATGATAATCAAAATAATTAAAAAATGATCGAAAAACAAGTTTTATAGTTATTGTTATTTTGACATCATCATATTTGACATTATTTTTGTTCTATCTGGATATATAAATAAATAAATTTCAAAATAGTTAGAAATTTTATAGAAATTTTTTTCAATGCGTCTGTAATGAACAGTCACATGAGAGAATTTATTTTTCAAAAAAAATTCTTTCATTGGATCACTGACTACATTCCAAATCACACAAAGAAAGAAATGTTCAAATCGTTTTGAAATGTAATATGTATAATATGTATTAAGATATATGTGTATATCTCTGTGCATGAGGGACGTTAAGAAAATTTTAATTTTGGTTTGTATACAAGATGAAATATCTTTTATATTATATACACATATAATCACAATATATCACAATATTTACGTATCTGCTTTACTATTATAACAAAAAAAATAAAAATATGTATTAAGTTTTTAAATATGAACAATACATGTTAAAAATGTGATTAAAAGTATATAAAAGAAAATAATTATTTTATCGTAATTGATCATATATGATTTCAAATAAGTATTATGTATTATGACATATATGTACCATGTAATGTGAAATATTATAAATATTATTTTGGTTTAACTAACGAAAACTAATATATATAAAATGAAATAGTACTGATTCAAATTAGAATATTCAGATGTCATAAAAGTATGATATAATTTGTGGCAAATAAAAATATCCTCAGATATTATTCTATAAATTATTTTCTAGTTTGAATCAACTGAAACCATCCAGATCAAATTAACGATATCGTATGAAGATCTATTGCTATGTAGTAATCTACTGCTTTTGTAATATTTTATTTCAATTTCTTGACAAAAATTGCATTAGGATTATACTCCTAACATTTCATTTATTAAAACAATTATAGGATGGAACATCTTTGTGTGCTTTGAAAATTATCTTATATTATAATATTTATATTTTCATAAGGCGGCGAGGTTCCAACAACAAAATTGGCAGCATTACAGAAAGTATTACAAAGTGATTTTCTTAGTGCAGTACGGGAAGTATATGAACATGTATACGAAACTGTTGATATTCAGGTAAAAATATAAGTAATAAATAATGTTCTAATTTAGTAGATAATCTCTTTATCAATAATTATAATAATTAATGATAATTTGATCAAAGGGTTCACAAGATGTACGTGCATCTGCAACAGCAAAAGCAACTGTTGCTGCTTTTGCAGCTAGTGAAGGTCATGCACATCCACGCGTAGTTGAATTACCAAAAACGGAAGAAGGACTTGGTTTTAATGTAATGGGAGGTAAAGAACAAAATTCACCAATTTATATATCTCGTATTATTCCTGGCGGCGTTGCTGATAGACATGGTGGTTTAAAACGTGGGGATCAGCTTTTATCTGTTAATGGAGTGGTTAGTAGAAATTTTCGTTCTTTTTTTTAATTATTAGAGACAATATTTTGCAATGAAACTTTTTCAGTGCGTTGAAGGTGAAAATCATGAAAAAGCAGTGGAATTATTAAAACAAGCTCAAAATTCCGTAAAATTAGTAGTTCGTTATACTCCACGTGTTCTAGAAGAGATGGAGTTACGTTTTGATAAACAAAGGGCTGCTCGTAGACGTCAACATGTTATGTTGCAATAAATAAAAATGTAAAATATTTAATTATATCCAGTAAAGAAACGCGAATTTATCAATTGTTGTCTATCTACTGCATTTATATATCTATATATATATATATATATATATATTCTGTATATTTAAGCTATTTATGCTCTAATTGTAACTTAGCAAGTATAAAGCATTAAGAAAATTGTATTAATAATTGTATTCATGTTTTCATTCATCGATAAATCATCTGTTATCAATTTTATGTTATGTCACTTTTAAAATATACTATATTCTGTAACTTTATATATTTTATAAAATATATAAAGCAGAATATAAGTTGCTAATATATTTAGACCCAGTTGCATCAATATTTTGGCTTTAGACTGAAAGTCAACAGTGATATAACTGAACTTTAATGTATAAAATAAAAACTATTCTGAAACTATTAGAACTTTTTGATTATGAAAGTATAGACCGCTAACTCTCCCTCTTTTCTCATATAAAAGAGTATTGCGCATGAGTTTGAAGTATATTGTTGTTTAAGGTTCGGTTGCAGTCATATTGAAATTTCTTACGTCGTATAGCTCCATTTTGTACTTTTTCCTTAAAAACATGATATTTTCATATTCTTAAAAACTTGTAAAAAATATCAGGAAGTAAGATATCTGTCCAATGAATCATGTAAAAGTGTAAAATAATTCTTGAAATAATAGTCACTGTTCAGTTATCAGAAACAACTAGATCTAGTGATGATTGATCAATTTTCTTAAAACCATTATAGACAGCACGATTTTACAATGTCAAGTTCTACGACCTTGGATGCGTTCAGGGAGCTCTTATTAAGAACGAAATTATATTTGTTTTAATTTTTAATTTTATATCGCAACGTTATTTCTTCTTTTTCATAGCAGGCAGTTTTAACATCATACCATACATAGACAAATATTTGATATTTCTACCACAGAAACAAAAAATCTAGATATTTCAATATTAATTTATAAACTAACACTTCGATAGAATCGCAGAAATATGCTATTTAATGTAACTTGCAGTACCAGTTTGAATTAATGTAATCATATGCACTTTGGCAAATTTTATTGTCATATTTTAATGTTGTGTTGTAGCATACTTGAAATAATATATATTTATAATTAATTTATATATATTTATAATTTATAATTAATTTAGAAATAATGTATATATTTACCTTATAGTATATGTATAGTATATGTGTTATATGACTCAGAAAACATATCTATTTGCTATATATTTATTAAATCAGTATAATAAAAAAATGCTTCTATTAGTATAAGTATTTGGAAAAAAAGAAGAAAGAAAAGACAGAAACAGAAAATATGTAAATGAGTATTTTATATGTGTGAATGTGCATGTACATGTGT